GATCGCTTCTGACTCCAGTGTCCACATCATTAATGAAGATGTTGAACAGTATGGGTCCAAGGACAGAGCCTTGGGGGACCCCACTGGTCACAGGACACCACGATGAGTGACTTCCATCGATTACTACCCTCTGGGTCCGACCCCGGAGCCAATTTTCCAGCCAGTGGATCGTGGAGGACCCAAGGCGACAATTGGCCAGTTTCTCCAAGAGGCGATCATGGGACACCAGATCAAAGGCTTTTTTGAAGTCAAGATATATGACATCAATCTCTTCTCCCTTGTCCAGGTGATAGGTCACCTGGTCATAGAAGGAAATGAGATTGGTCAAGCAAGACCTACCCGCAACAAACCCGTGCTGGCTATCCCTTAAGATGTTGGCGTCGGCCAGTCCATTAAGGATGGCCTCTTTAATAAACTTTTCTAAGATCTTCCCCGGGATAGAAGTCAGGCTGATGGGCCTATAGTTAGCCGGATCCACTTTCCTCCCTTTCTTGAAGATAGGCACCACATTGGCCTTCTTCCAGTGTTCAGGCACTACACCAGAGCGCCAAGAGTTTTCAAAGATCCGTGCTAGAGGCTGGGCTATGATGCTCGCCAGCTCCTTGAGTACCCTGGGGTGAAGATTGTCAGGGCCGGCTGACTTGAAGGTATCCAGCTTCTCAAGATGTTCCTTCAGAAAGTCAGCTTTAAAGGAGGGCAGGGGATCACCCTCACGAGAGGTTTCCCAGAGAGGTTGTGGAATCTATATCCTCAGAGGCTTATAAGACTTGGCTAGACTGAGCCTTGACTCAGATGATCTAGTTGGGGATGGTCCTGCTTTGAGCAGAGGATTGGACTAGATGTGACCTCCTGAGGTCCCTTCCAGTCCTAATTTTCTATGAGTCTATGAATCTGCTGTTCTGCTGTCTGCTTCCTTCCTTGTGCTCCCTGTCTGATATTCTAGTTTGCTTTGTGCTCCCTGCCCTATCTTCCACTGTACTCCCTCTTCCCTCCTTGATCAGCTGTGTGCTCCACACAGAGGCTGCCCATGCCATTTGGGGCTCCTGTACCGTAGATTGGCCATACCTGAGGTACATCATATGCCTTGCTTTATCAGCTGACTCACTTTGCTCTCTGATGTACCATAAGGACAGGCTCCATTTTTCCTTACCCCATTTGAAGATGGCATTCCTTAGGTTATCCTAAAATATTTGAGAGATGAACAGTCGTGCCAGGCCATTCAAGATAATGGAGTCAATGCTATAAAACAAGAATTCTGTTTTGTGTAAAAAAAAAAAAACAAAAATAAAAAAAAAATTCTGTTTAAAAAATGCTCAATCTTCCTTAGAACCAGAACAGGACAGATATTCTCCTTCCCGAAATAGTCAAAGCAAAGACTTTTACCTAGGTTTTCCCCACTGAGATCTTATTACTAGGTTCTTGGCTATTCTGGGATTACCTTTCCCCACACTCTTCATGAAAGGTCCACACTAGGTATGAGAAATCTTCTTAACAAGAACATTCAGAGTATACATGTTTTCATGAAAAGTTCCAATTATAACAAATTGGGCCTTTCCCAGGTAATAATTATAAAAAAGCTGTATGAAAAATGACCAAATAACTCCATCACTAAGTCTTTTAGGGATTGTTTATTATTTTTTAAACAGTCTTGAAAAGTGAAATTTTTGCACAAATTTTCCCACAATTATGGATGTAATTGTGTCTAAAATCAGAAAGGAAACTTACATAGAACTTGTACTTATTGCAGTGCTGGCAGTAATATAGACACAGACTTCCAATTTCTTTTAAATTTCTTGCCTCCACACACCTGGAAACTTAAAATGTAAATAAAATTTGTCTGTGAAGCTTTTCCTAGTAAGTGCTAACACTTTTTATTTTCATGTACAATTTACTTCTCAGGTACATTTTTACTGGTATTTACACCGCCGAAATATCAATAAAAATATTGGCAAGAGGATTTGTTTGGAGTGAACTCACTTTTCTTAGAGATCCATGTGATTGCCTAGACTTCATTGTTATCATTATGACGTAAGTAACATTCTATTTGTTTTTCTCCTGAGGAAAAGCGGCTAAGGTGCCATTAAGCTACTTTGCCTGATATCCCACATGCTTTGGAATCTGATTGTGGTCAAATTGCTCATGTCCATTGTAGTGCTCATTACTTGAAGAAAGAATTACCACAAACCTTACCACAATCAAATCTAAATGATTGTGAATGCTCATCTCTTTCACTTAACAGAAGCTTTCATGCATGTACACTCACAATCTAGTCTAACATATTTATTCATTCAAAAACTATAAATTAATCAAGCTATTTTTCATACAGTCTAGGACAGAAGGGAGAGAGAGAGTTTGTCTCTCATTTTTGTTTTTATGTACTACATTTACTCACATACTACACACACGTTTCTCCCCCCCCAAAAATCAGCCCACAACATTGGGATGTGTCTTAATCAGAGAAGCTGAGTTTCTGCTTTGTATAGGAGCACTTTGCTTTGGTTTCATGCAGCAGCAGCAACAGCAGCATTTTTCTCCTATTTCACAGTTCTGGAGGCTCTTTTTAGCCCTTTTCAAAATCAAAGATCCACCCATGAACACCAGTCCTAAGCAACAGCCAGATTTTCAGCTTTTGATTAAGGGAGGGTGAATGAGATAAAGCTTAAGCCCTGTCCCTGTTCTATGCATTCATAACTCTAGGGGGGGAAATTAATTCTTCCTTCCTACGAATAAGGCTTATGTCTTATTTGGAGGCATGTGGTATGTGAGAAAATACACTTGCAACTGGATAGCATTGTGTTAAGAATCTTGTAAGTATGTAAATCAAACAGCTACCTCTGAAACTCTAAATTCAGTGCATCTAGCAAACAACTTGCCTGTCTACCTAGAATTCTCTAAGTCTTTACTTCTGGCCAGAGAGGATACCCCAGTTTAAACAAAGATAAGTACAGACAAAGATATCAACATGCAAATTACTATTTGTAAAATAGTTTAAAGTTATTTCTAATGACCGTTCAGTTCACATTCCTAAAAGTACTTATCAATGCATGACTAAGACTTCCCAATTATTGTAAGAAAATATGTGTTTAAATAGTGTCAGTATCCTAGGTGACTCATAAGCAGCACTCTGGGTTTTCTGTTCTCTGTGGAAAAATGCAGATTTTCTCCTTTAAAAGAGAAAAATTCAGGAAATGGTGGTTTCCCCTTGCAGGCTGGGAGCGTTCTAGCCGGCAACAGGCTGCTTGTGGCTGGGAGAAGAGGGACACAGGAGGTGCCACATGCATGTGCATACATGCATGTAGCAGCCAGGCAGTGTGGAGAGCAGCTCCCACAGGTCCCTGCAGGTCAGTCTGTGGGGAGGGGGGCAGATTGAGGCTCCCATGGTAAGGGAGGGGGTGAGAGAGGGAAGGAAGTAGCCAGGATGGGGCTTGGGGTGCTGCTCAGCTGGGGCTGTGCGTTGGGCCTGGGGCAAAGGCATGAATGCACAGCCACAGGGCCCTGCTGGGGAAGTGGGAGGGAGCCACAGGCAGCTCATCTGCAGGGGGGCGGGGCTGGCTCCCTGATGTTGTGTGCACTCCAGGGGAGCAGGGCATGGGGGGCATGTGCCCCCCCCCAATTTGTGTGTGTAGAGATGACAGATGCAGACTGCCTGCTGCAGGGCTCAGGGTTCCCTGCCCTGCTGCTCTTCCCCCCAGGGGCCTCCAAAGCCCAGCAGCTAGAACCCAATGCAGGAGGGCAGAGAGGCTCGGTGTTGACACTGCTGCCAGGAGCCCTGCACCAGCTGCATCACCATGGCAACATGCCCCCTGCCCACCTGGCAGCAACAGGGGGCACAACTCCATACCACTGTCCCCGCTGTTACTGGATGGGCAAGGGTTGCCTCACCATGGTGGCATGGCTGGCACAGGGCCTCTCTGCCCTCCTGCACCACGTCCCACCCCCTGGGCAGCAGAGGCTCCTAGGGGGAGGGCACCAGGGCAGGGAGTCCTGAGCCCACAGTTCTTGTGGGTGGCAACCAGAACTTGCATGCTGCTGGGAGCGGGGCATGGGACTGTGGACCCTGGCCCTGGTACTATAGCCCTGGAAGCTGGGCCTCCTTCCAGCAGGGCTGCAGGGACAGGGGGCTGCAGGTTGGTAGTGAGGAGAACCTGGGGAGGTGGGGGGCATTGGCAGGGATGGGGCAGAGCACCAGCATATCAAGGCTGCTCAGTGGCACAGAGCAGTGAGGTGGGAGGGAATGGATGGGCAGCTGCAGGTGGACCCACGTCCTGGTGAGTAAAGGGGGCAGGGGGAACTCTGATTTTTCATGATAAAAAAATGAAAATCAAATGCCAAAATATATAGGTATTTAGATTTTATTTTACGACAGTAATTGAGGCCCTATTAGGCTTCCAAATTGCTTTAAAACTGTAAATACATCAATAAAACATCTGAACAACTATGGAGTCTCCCTGTGCTTGAAGGGTGAGTGTGCCTGAAAGCATTTTTGAGGTTTAATGTTCATTTCAGTGCCTTTGAGTTGAGGGTTTCAGTATTACATTTAAAACTGGGGCAGGGTTGAGTTTGGGGTCAGGTGGGGGTTGTTGTTTTTCAAAAGGCAGAAAGGGATGTTTCTCGACGTGATCCTAGTTTCCCATGATAAAAAAAAAAAAAGAAATCACTGATTCACAGAAGTTTAGGCCTGGAAGGGACCTCATGGGATCATCTAGTCCAGCCTCCCTAACTAGGCAGGAAAGAGGGGCCCTGCTCTGGGCAGGAAAGACTGCTGAGGTCAAATAACCCCAGCAAGGTGTGCGTCCCGTCTCCTTTTGAAGCTCTCCAGGGTAGGTGCCTGCACCATCCCTGCTGGGAGTCTGTTCCAGAGTCTGGTCACACGAACCGTGAAGAAGTTTTTCCTTATATCCAATCTGAAACCTTCTAGGAGTTTATGACTGTTCCTCTTGGTTTTTCCCTGGGGTCCTTTGGTGAATTTGTTCACCTAGTGAATAGTTGTAAAAAACAAAAATCCTTGTTTTTCTGTGGTGAGCTCCCTCCCCGCCCAATGCTGACTGGCTGAGGAGCCCTGGCAGCAGCCCTGCCTCTCGCCGCTGATTGTCCAAGAAGGCTGTGGTTCATGCAGCTCCACCCCTCACAGTTGATTGGTGGAGAGAGGCAGGGCTATGCCATAGGCAGCCCTCTTGACCAGTCAGCCATGGAGGGAGGAAGGGGCGGCTGCCATCTTAGCTGCTTCCCCGTGTTCTGGTGGCTTCTTCCCTGCAGCAGGCTGCTGCAGCAGCTGTGAAAACTGCTGGCTTCCACTAAGGAGCAGCATTTTATTTTCAGTATTTTTTTTAACCTGGCAATTCTGAAGATTCTTTGTAAAAATGTAAATTCAATGTTTTTCCATGTCAGATTTTTAAGATCCCCATTGATGACCCTCCAACCCCACCTACAATACCAAAAACCCTTTGTAGCAGGCCTCAATTTTCCTGTAACATTTGAATCCTCCAGTGGCCCTCTGAAACCTATTAGGCATTTTGGTCAGTCATCTCCGTCTCTTGCCTGCCACACATTTTGATGCCTCAGTGCATCTTCAGTGGCCTCCCATCACCCCTGAAGCCACCTCGTGACTCATGGCTAACACGAACAAAAACCATCGGCATCATGAACGACACGTGCCACCGGCAGCTATGGGGGCGCGGCGGTGCTCACAGCAGCAGAAGAGTGGCGGCGGTAAGTGTGGAGCTCCTGCAGATGCCGCCAGCACTGGTGACGGCGGGTGGGGGAGGTGTGGCAAGCACCGACCAGGGGTCGGTGACCACCCACAGATGCCATCAGCAGCAGCCAACAGCGATCGCTGACCACCCGCAGATGCCAGCGGTGATGTTGGCAACGGGGGGGGGGGCAGTGGTGAGTAGGGACTGCCTGCAGGTGCCGCCGACACTGGTGCACCCCCTACGCACCGCCAATGATCAGCATAATTACTGAATCTGCTTTCCAGTGGCATGCTGTCTCTTGTACTCCCTGCAGAGCTTTTTTCCTGCGCCTCACCTGGGTCAACACTGACTCCTTAACCTAGGAACTCTGTTTATAGCCCCGTCCCTTATGTGCACAGAGGTTTCTCTGTACTAATCAGCATTGGCTTATTACTCTGGAGTCTGTCCCTCTGCAACCTACAACTATAGCCTGCTTCTCTGTAGTCTGCCCCACTGCGTCCTCTCTGTGGAAGAAATCAAACTTCGCGTTGTGGTTGTATCAGAATTGACAGAGCCATCTTGGTTTATTTAGAGCTGTACAAGTGATCACGAGGGTTCTCAAAGGAACTCTGAACTCTATAAGCTTACAAATGTATTTATACTTTAGACAGCGAGAAAAGATGCATGGTTCAGACAGAGCAACCTTGAAGAAACAGGAAGAAGTTGATCATCCGTTTGTCACACGTAGGAGGTTTACTTATTCAGCAAACACATTGTGTTTTGGGAACAGCTATCAGTTTCTGGTTCCCGGAAAGGAGGAGGTTAACATTTGCACACAGAGATTAATATATCAAGACTAAACAAGGCATGAAGGTTTTTCCTTATCTTAGAATATTTTGAAACACATAGCATCAGCATCTTTTCTCTTCTCGTTCTCTCTCTTTGTCTGTCCTCTTAGTCAAGTAAGAGACCTGGTTAAACTTATTTCCACATCTCCTTTGCACTCAGTAACTGAGGGTAGGTGCCCCTGTTACACCCTTATAACATGGAGGTTCTGCCCTGTTTCTTGCTGCTAAGCGAGATGTCATACTTGTAAACCTTTCTCTTCTTGTGTTTGCATATGCAGTAAGTACTGGGGGAAAACCTGTGTGTATACCCTTATGTTTGTGGATAACGTAGCCATTCATTAGGAGGCATTTATAACTTACTCTGTGCTACAGTGAAATGTCCATATATTTTTTTGGCCTTGTGATGCTAATACATCATAAAAGCCATCTGCTAGTACTGCATACTTGTTATTTCTTTTTAGATTCTGTCATCACCAGAGATCCTAGTTTTCTCTGATTTTAAAAAAAATCCCAATTTTCAGTTAAAAAAAAGTAACCCCAAATCCACATTTTTCGGTGATTTAAATGAAACATCACTAATATGTAGTGGTGTTTCATTTTAATCATGGAATAATGTGGATTTGGGGTTACCTTTTAACCAAAAAATGAGGATTTTTTAATCAGAGAAAACCAGGATCCCTGCTCATCACAGTAGTTCACCATAACAGTGTTATTTTTCTTTAAAAAGTGTTATCTTAATTTTTTTCCAACTACTGAAGTTGGTCTATTAAAAGATATCAGATTCACCCAAAAAACCTTGTCATCTTAAGTATGCAGAATATGAGTCCAAATTGACATTTTATGGTGACACAGAAGCCCCTAAGTGAGCTTGCTGAGTTTCATTTAGGTACCTAAGGGACCACTCTGATTCCTGCCCCTGGTTTATATATTATTTGAACTAATCCCTTATTGCAACATTTATGCGCCACAGTAGTAAAGTCAAACACTGTTGCATCTCCCTCCTGCAGCCTCCGCCATCACTTCCTTTGCTGCTGATTGCCCACAGTTCCCCTGCTACCAATTGCTGCTGATTCCTTTTGCCAGTGGCAATTGGCAGCAGGGGAATTGGCAAGATTCATGGGAAATGCTGCCTTATTACATGGCTAGTTTTCCTAAAATATTCTGCATGCAGATATGCCCAGAAAAAAGTTGATATCTAAAACCACTTTATGATATATCTTCCTTGTTATTCAGTTAAATGGTATTTTCTCTCATGTAATTTCAATAATTGGTGATATGCTCTTATAGGTATATAAGCCTCATTGGATCACTTCAGAATGTTTCAGCTCTTCGGACTTTCAGGGTACTAAGGACTTTTAAAGCAATTTCAGTACTCCCTGGTAAGCAGCAATGATTTTTTCTGATTGGCTGTCATCTGCAAATGCCTGTTGTCTTTTATTTCTTCACTGTTGTTGTGTACCATTTTTGTATGATTGCCATATTTACTTGAATATAAGATAACCCGCAATAATTAGATTCTGTACTTGGAAAATTTATAAATTTGTTATAATTTTCCAGGTATAGAATCTAATTATGAGAGGTTTGCCTTGACTTTGTCCCCCTCCCACTGCTACACAGGGAAAATAAATCTGGAGGGGTCAGGTGGCCTCCTTGCCATCTGCCTCCCCAACTTCTTCCCCCTGCAGCATCTCCCCCACCCCGCTTCAGAGTTCATTGCTCCCAGGCATGCTATTTTAACATGCCTCTGGGAGCAATTAAGTCTGGAGCAATAAGCTCTGGAGGTTATTCATTTTTATTCATATTTACAAGTACTATCCTGATGCAGAGTAAATTAGTTTGGGGTGCACATGTAGATGCCAAGATGTTTACTGCATAGCTAATTAGTCAACTGCACGGTAAACATTTCATGTAGACATGCCCACTGATGTTGAAATAAACACGCTTGAGCAAGATTTTGTATTCTCATACCACGTCAGGTACTATGGAAAGGGTAAAGGAAATGTCCCTTGTGGTAGAACTTGAAATAATAAAGCTCATCTCTGATATGGAATGCACAGTTCCAAGTCCATAACCTCATTGTCTCTCATAAAGGATAGAAACATAGGACTGGAATGGATGCCTTGGATCACTGAGCCCAGTACCATACTGTGGCAGATATCACATCATCCAATTCCACCAATAACCTCCTTCCATCTTGATACCTCCTCTTTTATCACTATTGGTTGACATTCACTTTCAGTTAGTTCTTTATTATTTTTACAATCTCTCTACTAATCTCCATTTTCTCTAGTTTCACTAATATCATATTTACTTGAATACAAAACAAGATTTTTTGCCTGAATCAGCATAGGGAATAAAGACCTTTGTCTTATAATCACATACAAGGAAATCTCACTAAATACATTGTCTGTCATAAAGTAATAGAGTCATAGAGAAGCAGGGCTGGAAGATACCTCCAGAAGTCTTTCAGTCCAGCCTCCCACCTGAGGCAGGATCATCCCTAACCAAACCATCCCATCATCAGGATGGGATCCCATCATTGGCAATCCCCCATAGTCAGGGATGATGGTCTTTGTGATTGTTTTATCTGTGGATCCAAAGATGGCTGACAAGGTCTGTCTGTAGGCTGACCATATGGAAATCCTAGACATCTGGGTAATTAATCTGGGAAATCTAGGACAATGTCCCCCCTCCCCATGCTCTCACAAGCTGGCAGAGATGGAGGTGGTGTGCCAGGCAAGCTGCAGAACATAGCTGCCCACCCTCAAGGCTCTCCACAGTGCTCTGACTCCCGGCTAGACTGCGACCCATGCCCCGCTTTACTGGAACACCCATTATAATTCTGAACAGCCAGCCAGGACTGGCCTCTGAAATCCAGGACTATCTTGGCTAAAGAGGGACATATGGACACCTTACCTATCTGGGAGAGACAGATTCTGTTGCAGCTTGGACACATGTTTCCATGTGGGGTGAGTGGCACTGAAAAAACGTGTGCATTGTGGATGTCAGTGAGATGCTGAATGTCCTTTGCCTCGTCTTCCCACCATCTGTTTTTCATATTGTGGGTCCTCCATGACAGTTATCCCATACAACCATATTCTAAACTCTGCATAAGACTACTCTCAACCCTGACCACAACATAGACTTAACACCCTAACCCGACACAGGTAAAGTAAGGGAATGACAGCAGCCAATGTCATGCTTCTATAAAATGTTGTTAGTATATGTTCAAGAGGTCCTGAGTAGAGGGCCATGCCTTCCCCTACAGAGGAAGGTAAACACTCCTACAGTCCATTCCATCTGACCATGGGATAAAATTCCTTCCGGAGCCGAAATATGGTAATCAGTTTGACCCTGTGCAGAGGTCAAGACCCTCTATCCAGTTTACTTAACATTATTCTTAGTAAGTCCACACTGGCTGCTTCTGATTAGCCTTTCATATAGTCACAGAATCCCAGAGTCATAAAAAATTAGGGCTACGAGGCACCTCAGGAGGTCACCTAGTTTAACCCCTGCTCAAAGCAGGACCATTCCCAACTAGATCATTCCAGCCAGGGTTTGTCAAGGTGGGCCTTAAAAACCTCCAAGGATGGAGATCCCTCAGCCTCTCAAGGTAATTTGTTCCAGGGCTTCACCACCCACCTAGTGAGAGTTTTTCTTGATATCCAACCTAAACCTCCCTTGCTGAAACTTGAGCCCATTGCTCCTTGTTCTATCATCTGCCACCACTGAGAACAGTCCAGCTCCATCCTCCTTGGAGTCCTCCTTCAGTTAGTTGAAGGCTGCTATTAAATCCCCGCTCAGTCTTCTCTTCTCTAGACTAGATAAGCCCAGTTCCCTCAGCTTCTCATAAGTCATGTGTCCCACCACCTAACCATTTTTGTTGCCCTCTGCTGGACTCTCTCCAACTTGTCTACATCCTTTCTATAGTGGGGGGTCCAAAACTAGACACAGCTTCCTTGGTCTTTCTTTTCTGACCAACATACTTATAACACTTCTTCTTCATGTTCTTAATCTCCCTCATCAGGTCCAGCTTGCTCTTTTTCTTTGCCTTCCTGATTTTGTCCATGCAGGTTCTTGCAATTTCCTGGTAAGGTCCTTTGGTGACGTGCCCATCTTTCCATTGCCTGTATGCTTTCCTTTTGCATTTGAGGCGTCCTAGAAGTTCCTTGTACAGCTGCATTGGTCTCTTGCTACTCTTCTTGTGCTTCTATCATTTCAGAATGGTTTCTTGTTGGGCTTCCAGTGCTGTGTCCTTTAGAAACTTCCAGTGCCCTGGGCACCTTTATCCTTCAGTACGCTCATGGCACCATGTCTACTATCTGCTTGAGTTGGGTGAAATCTGCCTTTTTGAATGGATGACACCTAGGCTGTAGGAAACCAAGGAAAGCGAAAGAACTCCCCACCTCCTCCAGGTGTGCACATGCACATACACAGGCCTCCCTGGCTCCTTCATGCAGTGAACTCCCAGGCAGATTTCCTCTCTGTTCACTGCTGTTACAATAGAAGTGATTGCTTAATTAGTACTTTGAAAGAAAGTCTAGGTCTTTGTCGTTTTCACCACCTTTGTAGCAGAACCAATTTTTTTTGGAGATATATTTTCAACCAATGGAAAATGTCTTTCCCAGCAAATACTGTCATTGAAATAGTAATATGGTTTTACTCTTAAAAACCAACAATGCCCTTTTTAATAGTTTTGCAGATGGTGGGTACATGTGCCATTAGAGGGCAGCAATAAACTGAAGAGCATATTGTTCCAGCGTTTATTGCTCCTGGGAAGCTCCCAGGCATGCAGTTGACATGTTCGCCCGGATTGCAGCACATTGAGCTGGGTTGCAGCAGCCCCAGCTGGCAGGGTGTCCCAGGGAGTCATCCTGCCAACCTGAGGCTGCTCTGACTGGGCTCAGAGTGCTGTGGAGAGGCTGGCTGGGGCACGAGGGTGTTTCAGCACAGGGCTAGCCAGCAGGCAGCCCTGGCATTGAAGCACCCTTGTGCCCCAGCCAGCCAGTCATCATCTACACATGCACTGCTACACATGAAAAAACTACTCAGCAAGGCAGGACTTGTATTTATAAGTCCTACCCAGCTGCAGAGTTTATTAGTTTTGTGCACCCTAATAGGGACGCACATGTAGACTGGGATGTTTACTTCACAGTTAATTAAGCAACCTGTAGATGTCCCTGGTGAGACCCTATTTGCACAGATCTCTTGTAACACATATGGGAGTCCTATATTCAAAGATGGGATGCCTTTATTTTAAATATTACAGACAAAGTTCAAAAGTCTCCAGAGATGTGCTCCCCACCCCCTAATCCCTTTTGCAAGAGCCCTAAATTCCCTTGGAATAAAAAAAAGTTATTAAAATCTATTGTAAAATTCAGTGCATATATTATATTCAGTCCTAGCCTTTTCATAAAGACTTTTTATACAAAACAATATTCTAGCACACCCTTAATAAGTGGACAATAAAGGTATTAAAATTACACGTCAGTTTTTATTTTGAATATTCAATCTAAATAACAGACAAAAGTCATTGATTAAAATTTTTAGTATTGCTGTCTCTCTCTCATGCTAGATTTGGGAGGTTTTTCTGTCTTACTGTTGATCTTCAATTTATATGATTATATTAAATAGGTTTTCTCTTTAAACTAGTGGATCTGGTCATGCACCCAGATGAAACTCTTTAAAAGCAGTGGGAGTTTTACTTGTTTTAAGCAAAGTATGTACAAAAGCCTGCTTTTATGAGTGTGCTTACGTGCAATTTTGAATTAGTACTGTACTGAGTGCAGTTAGCCTCAAAAAGAATTAAAAAGCAAAGTAGAACTAGGAAATTAGAATAAAATTATTCACAATTGCTAGTTCTCTACTGCAGTTTATCCTACAGAACTGCAACACTGTACAGTTCATCATTTTACATAACTGTAGTTGTTGCACTTGGCTAAATGTGGAACTAATACTACTTTCCTTTTCAGATTCACACTCTCAGCATTATTTTTCTAGGTCTGAAAGTCATTGTAAATGCACTTATCCAGTCTGTTAGGAAACTTGCCAATGTGATGATCCTCACTGTTTTCTGCTTGAGTGTCTTCGCCCTTGTAGGCCTCCAGCTCTTTATGGGCCACTTGAAATTTAAATGTGTCCTCAACAATGCTACATATGATGAATCACTTTGTAAGGAAGCTAAAGTATATGATTCAAGCAGTCCAGGTATTGTTTTCTCTTTTTTAACCACTAAGAAAGAATCATATCTTTTGATTTTATGTATGCTCTGATTAAATATGCCAATGTTGAAAATATGGTTGCATAATAGTTTTCACATAACATATATTTTTCAGAATATGGACAGGTCAAGTAGTTAGATTCCCATAAAATATTCGAAGGGGCAGGTCTACTACAAAGCATGTGTACACCAAGAACGGGTAACTATTAATATCTTGGACTGTAGGTTTGGCCCTGGCATTAAGTATTCATAGCCTGTGTTCTGAATTGTATGGCACATTGTGACAGACTCATACCCAACGCACTGCCCAATGGGCCATGGGCATATCCCACCCCCTTGAGTCATGTCGCACCTAGTCTGTTCACCTGCCATGACTTCATTGTTGCTAGGTGAGCCTTCACTTGCCTGGAGGTGATCTTAGTGATTCCCTGGTGGTCCAGGTGTGGCCGCATTGGTGTCTGGCTATGCCCCAATGCTCTGGAAGTGGGGGTGGGGTCTGGCATTTCCCCAGGCATTTTGGCCTCAGGAAGAGTGGCCCCATTCCCCTCCGTTGTGGGAAGAGCATCTGGATCTTCTCCAGGGTCTCTGGCAATGGGAACAGTGTCTGGATTTGTTTCTGGTTTCCTGACACATGCTTCCCCCATCTTTGTCTTCCGGCCTACTTTTACCCCATTGCCCCTGGACTCTGGGCCAATCCATGGGGCTCTTCTGGTCAGCGTGGGGCACTGGCCAGTTGATTGCAGCCCTAACACCTATGCCCAAATGCGAGTCAGGTGTACATCAGTTACACACATGCTTTAGATAGCTTAAGTATAAAAATGCAAAAGTAAAGGTAAAAGTTCTGGAGACAAGTCTTATATACTTCTCTGGTTTTTTGCCTTTTGTGAAACCTTCATCTCATCACCTCAGGAGCTACTATATAGCAGGCTTCCAGGCAAGAATTTTCCTGAGATGGAATTGTCATTGATGAACAAATATATTCTCTAAAAAAGTCTTTATCTCTTTTAATTTAGGGTATAAGCCAAGAAGATGACATTTGCTTTTCATGGTCACTCCTTTAGCTATCATAGCATACCATTATAAATCAAAAAGTAATAATATTAGCAGGTTGCTTTTGTGTCTTTTAAATCTCCATATCTCTCAACTTCCTGCCATTCAAATAGAAATATGGGAGTCTCTGGTCAGGAATACCTTTTGAGAAACAGCTGGGAGATGGATGGGGTCTCCAACTTTCTAGGTCAGTTGTATAATAAGTGGGCTGTACAGTATATGAAGGGCAATACCACCATCACTACCTTGTTTTTGGGAATGGCCCTGAGTTCAGACATCTTGATTTTTATTTTTGCCAAAAGTCTGTTAAATTCAACCCAATGAGGGAATGGTTTCAGCTGTTCCAAAAGAACATTTTTAGCAAATAAATTATTTCTTTAAAAATTTTCCCCAGCTCAGCAAAATTCCCTATGTTATATCCTGTACATTTGACAAAGGTATTCTTAAAGAGGTGAGCTGTATTTCCTCTTGAATAAAAAATGTAATTATTTATAGATTAGTAACTGTTTAGTTTATATCTGCAGTTGATATTTTTAACATCTGTTAATTAGGGGAAATGTTTGTAAATAACTTGTAATTTTATAATCCTTTCTTTTTTGCAGGAGATGTCTGCGCCAGAATGAACAATTCCAATGACATATTACTGTGTAACCCATATTCAGAACTTAAGTAAGTAAAATGAACGGCCCTTTAAGTTGTTTCTTTCTTTTGCTATTTTTGTTTTTAATTTTGCCCATAGAATTGCAGGTGAATTTCCTGGAGGCTGTTATTTCCTTAGTCAAGTATACAGAGATAAAGACCCCCTGGGTGTACAACCTTCCCATCCCCATGGACATGGCCCCTTGCAAACAACCTGCAAAGCACATGCCATTTAGCCAGGTCACAAATCATGGATGGGTCCAGGAGTGGGGGTCTAGGAGGATTGGAGGGGAACAAGGTAGGGGGCTGTATCAAGTCCCTATAAGCTGGGGCTTCCTTCCCAAGGCAGGGCCAATAGTTCCCCCAAAAGCACCTTCCCTCACTGCTCCCACCTCCCAGCCACCCCAGGAAACACAGCCTGCACCCCCCACATCTCAATCCCAAACCTCAATTTATTGAAACATGAGACCTTCTTTTATTTACTTCCTCTTTATTTCTTTTAAATTTTTTTTACTTCTTTTTATTTTATCCTTCACTGGCTGACTTCCTTCATCTCGCTACCCTCCCCCCACCCCCATTTCCTTTCTACCTCCCATTTCATTACACACTTCATCCCATTAACTCTCCGCCTCCCATCTTCATGTTCCAACCCCTCTCTCTACCCCAACCCATCTATAACCATTCCCCCCCCCCCCCCCCTGCTAAACCAGGGATAGAAGCCTGTCCTGTCTCACCGGCCCTCTAGTGGCAAGTCATAGCTGTGCAGGTGAGGGACAGAGAAGGTTTTTAGCCTTCAGTGTGACTGCTCCAAACTTGAACTAGTATGAACACTGATCAGCGCTTGAACAGCTCCAAGTGCAATGTGTATAAGGCCTTTACATAGAGAAACAAAAGCCCTTTATTCTTTCTAAAGCTGTAGTAGGGTTGGAGTGTTGTTTTAGCTGTGATGATCCAGGAAACATCCAAAAGGCAAGGCTTTTTTGTGATACCATTTATTGGATCAACTGTGTATGAGGGAGAACTGTTGGACAAGCTTTTGGACATTGGGTGCTATTTCTCAGGTCTGAAGAAGCAGAGGCAGGCTAAGCTAAGTATCAGAGAAAAGACTTCATACAAATTGAAACAGTCTACTTGGAGGGATGGAGGAGGGTTGTGAACTAGGAATGAAGATGTGAAAACCAGAGCAGTAGAATTGATTCATAGATGTTAGGGTCAGAAGGGACCTCAATAAGTCATCGAGTCTGACCCCCTACCCTGGGCAGAAAAGGGTGCTGGGGTCAGACGACCCTAGCTAGGTGCTTGTCCAGTCTCCTCTTAAAGACCCCAAGATAGGGGAGAGCATCACTTCCCTTGGAAGCCCATTCCAATTACTGGCAGCCCTTACTGTGAAGAAGTTCTTTTTAATGTCCAACCTAAATCTGTTCTCCATCAATTTGCCATTGTTTCTAGTTACTCCAGGGGTGCCCTAATAAATAGAGCATCTCCTATTCCCTGCTGCCTTCCCCTGATGAATTTATAGGCAGCCACAAGATCACCTCTCAACCTTCTCTTGCGAATGCTGAAGAGACCTAGGTCCCTCAGTCTCTCCTCATAGGCCCTTGCCTGCAGGCCTCTGACCATACGATTGGCCCTCCACTGAACCCTCTCAAGTTTTTCCGCATCCCTCTTGAAGTGCAGCACCCAAAACTAGATGCAGTACTCCAACTACAGCCTGACCAGGGCCACAAAGAGGGGAAGCATCACCTCCCAGGACCTGTTCATCATGCATCTGTTAATGCATGATAAAGTGTGGTTAGCCTTGTTGATCACTTCATCACACTGACAACTCATGTTCATCTTGGAGTCAACTATGACTCCAAGATCCCTTTCCGATGCTGTGCTGTTGAGGTCATTGTTGCAGGGCACTTAGGTGCCTGCTCCTAGAAGAGCACAACCTGCCTGGGGAGAGCCCAAAGAGCGAGTGAAGGGAAGAGGCCTGACTAAGTTCTGCTCCTAGTAATGTAAAGGGGCAGAGCACACCTTATGTTATAGCCCAGGGCTATAGCAACCTCATGTTATAGCCCAGGGGCTTACATTAGGTTGTTGTTTTATAATTCTGCACATTTTTCCAACCTGTCCAGTTCTACCTGGATCTGTTCCCTACCCTCTGATGTGTTAATTTTGCCCCATAATTTAGTATCATCTGTGAACTTGGACAGGGTGCTCTCCATGCCCTCATCTAAGTCACTGATGAAGACACTGAATAGCACCAGTCAAAGGACCGAGCCTGGCAGGACTCCATTGCCCACATCTTTCCAGGTTGATATTGACCCATCCACCACTACACTCTGGGTGCGATCCCTAAGCCAATTTGCCACCCACCTGATCGTGTCATCATTTACATCATAGCCTGTCAGTTTATTTACCAGAACAGAATGCGATACCATATCAAAGGCCTTCTTAAAGTCTATGTAGATGACATGTACCTTGACCCCTGTGTTTAAGCATTTTGTGACCTGGTCAAAAAAGAAACAAGATTAGTCAGGCAGGATCTACCTGCAATGGACCCATGCTGATTTCCTTTCAGCATTATTTCCCCTGCTGGGCTCCCACAAATGTGATCCTTAATGATTTTTTCCACAGTTTTCCCAAGGATAAAGGTGAGACTAACTGGCCTATAGTTTCCCGGTTCCTCCCTTCTCCCCGTCTTGAAAATAGGGACCACATTGACCCACAGTACCTCAGTTTGGCCCTCCTCTGATCTCATCCTGATTATAGAGGATGTATATTGTTCCTTAACATATAGAGAGCAACACCCTGCCACCCTTTTTCCTCACTCTATCCCATCTGTACAACCTGTAACGCTCAATGCCTACTGCCCAATTGTGAGTAGGGTCCCACCAGGTTTTAGTTAGTCCAACTAGGTAATAGGTAATCTGGTTAGTGGCAGGACCAGACCATTTAAGATGGGTGAAATTATTACCTTTACTGAATCCATTAATTAAGATACTTTAATAAACTCATAGAAAAAAGACAAAGACACACAAATGCCACTAGGAGCACATTTTTCACAGAATAGCCACTCCCTCTGACCTCACAATCCTTGTGCTCAAAGGGAATTTGCAAAAGAAGTTGGGAACAGAAATTTATAACTATGCTGGACAGTAAAAAAAATGTTCTTAATATAGACAGTGCCTTTTTGGCTCATTACAACCTTAAATACTTCCAATTACCCGCCTGTACTTCACAGGTAATAACTACCCACATCTTGAATAGTCTCACTCTGTCACTAACTGGATTGCCTATTCTGCTGCACTACAGTCTAATAATGGCTTCTGTTTGCTTCTCTGTTTCTTTCCAAAAGCATCCATATATTGTTATCCCAGTCCACCTCAAAAAAGAGAACAAAAAGGTTTTAATCATTTATTATGATTTTGTGTAGAAAAAGTCAACCTATTGCAGAGACCTCTCACAGAAAAAGATACATTGCTTATTATTTGTGTTTCAGTAGTGACCAAAGGTTCCATTCAAGAATGGAGCCCAATTGTGCTCCATAGATGCGGTAGAGACATATATAGGATTCATGTAACATCGAATGATCTATCCTGGATTCATAAATACATATTTTTATCATGGACAATAAAGTCTTTGGAGGAAAAAAAGGCAGGATGGTGATTTATACTTTTCTTTTGACTTGACTCATGTCTTAAACACTTGTTATGAATAGTAGTCTTTTTTTAGTATCTAGTTGCATGTTATGCAAAGTAAGCAATTTGGCAGGTAGCCGCCAAAAATACCTAATGCTTCTTCTGTTACTAGATGTCCAGAGAACTATTCCTGCCAGAATCATAAACCCAATCCTGATTTTGGTTACACAAGCTTTGATAATTTTGGCTGGGCCTTTCTCTCCATGTTTCGTTTGATGACACAGGATTCCTGGGAGCGTCTCTATCGTCAAGTAAGTACTTCAGTTTTTAAAAGGATCAATTAAGAAGCCAGTTATGAAATACAGAGACTTATCTAATATGGAAAATGTTGCAATATTGTTTTATTAACACCTATAGTTACATTTATTTAAAAAAAATTAAATGCTAGGAAAGACCAAAAATGAAATGCCAAACACCTCAGGGCACTACTGAATAGCCTCTTTAGACTCTCCTTTATGTGGACAGCACTGTTTAGAATGCCAATGGCAGCATCATCCAGGACAGTCCCAGGTCTTGAACCAAGACCTGGAGATGCCCTCTGGCTCATCCTGACACTCAGCTGAGCTTTGGGGTGGAACAAAGAGTTAAAGATGCTATACAGGGGTCCAAGACACAGAGCCCCCTACCTAATCCCTGGAGCTAGTCCCAGGTTCTGGACTTGACAGCCCCTGCTCAGTCCCCAGAGGTAGTCCCAGCTACAAGGTCTGATGGACTCCCACAACATTGACCTATTTCTGGCTTTACCATGCAGGGTAAGGTAGAAAATGTGTGGACATTAGGGGTATGCTAAGTGGGCAGTATTCAATTCAGATTTGGATTCAGCCCAATTCAGGGGACAGTGATTTGATTTGCTGATTCAGATCACTGTCCTGATTTGTTTCAGCTGAATCTGAATCTGAAGATTTGATTCTGATTTGGAGAATCAGCAATTTGGCCATAAACACAGCTTTAAATGTTTTTTCGACGTACCTCAGGGTACTAGGCGTGGCTCATGAATGCTGAGATGGTGGGGCAGATGGAGTGTCCCATGGGAGTGCAGGGGAGTCACCCACACACTCGGCGATCGGCCATGGAACTCCAGGTGCCCCCCCAGACCCAGGAGGCATCAGTCGCTGAGCTGGGGTGGGGGGGTAGGCTCCTGAGTGGTATACCCAAAAATGGACCAGAAGTACTTCTGGTCCACTTCTGGGTCTGCTGCCGAGTGTGCAGGGGACCTCCCCGTGCTCCCGTGGGACACTCCATTTGCCCCACCATCTCAGTGTTCACGAGCTGCACCTGCTATCTCAAGGTACATAGAAAAAACATATAAAGCTGTGTCTATGGCTTATTTGCTTATTTGGCTGGGCTTGGGTGGGAAATAACTATTTTAATATGTTTAGTTCAAAAATATTTTCTCCTTTCTTTTCAGTTGCTCCTGGCAGTGTTATGAATGGTAGACACTATGCTGCAGGGGGGCGGGAAATATTATATGGGCACAAAATAATACTTACGGTAAAAACTTAGAGAATTTAGGCTACATTCAAAAGGGGCCTGCTAGAAAACCTGATCTTAGCTCCTGTATAATAGCACAGATCAGGAGATAAGTTGCTGAAATTCTGCTTTAAGAAAACAATACTATATGTTGACTACTTCCACAATATGGGAAGAAATTTAACAAGGTTTGTTTTCAAATGTTGTTGTACGTTTTACACTTTTTCAATAACTTTCACAAATTTAATTTTACTTAGGTTATCCGAACATCTGGAAAGACAAGCATGATCTTTTTTGTGGTGGTCATTTTTCTATGTTCATTTTATCTCTTCAACTTGATCTTGGCTGTTGTAACTATGGCATATGAAGAGCAAAACCAAGCCACACAAGCTGAAATACAAGCAAAGGAGAAATTGTTTCAGGAAGCTGAGGAACTACTAAAGAAAGAACAGGTTACTAATTTTTTATATACAATAGATATAACACATTCATACAGAATTTCCCTTTTCTTTTCTTGTTTTTATGAAATAAGGAAATGAGGTCTTTGATTAAAACAAGCACTTCTCACATTTTATTTAAAGTGTTTAGTGTCCTTTCATAGACACAGGTGTCAATTTCTTATACTTCAATAACATAAACATTATTGCGGAGGGGGCATGCAACATCAAGTCAAACTACAATTAATCTTAAAGTGACTCATTCAGGGCTGGCAGATGAAAGTGGGAAGGACTGCACGCACACTGGAGGATAAGGTAGATTTCAGAAGGATCTTGACAGATTGGAAAGCTGGGCTAGATGCAACAGGATAAAGATCAGTGCAGACGAGTTTATGGTGCTGTGCTTAGGGAAGAATACTGAAAACCACAAATACAGTATGGGAGAGCACTGTTTGGGTGGTAGCATTGCTGAGTAGGATTTTGGGCTTTTGGTGGATCACAGACTCAAATTAGTCAACAGTGTAGTGCAGAATAAAAAAATCCATTGCAGTTTTGTACTGCATTAGCAAGAGCATTTGGTGAAGACACGGAAGGTGGTAGTACCAATCTATTTGGTGCTGGTTAGGCGTTCTGTGCAGTTTTGTGCTCCTTGTTTAAGAAGTACGTGGAGAAACTAGAGAGGGTCTAGAGACAGGTGACAAAATGATTAAATGGTTGGAAGGCAAGCCATACAAGGAAAGGTTGAGAGAACTAGACATGCTTAGCTTGGAGAAAAGATGACTAAGTAGAGATGTAATAACAGTCTTACATTATCTGAAAAGCTATCATAAACAAGAGAAAAAACTACTGTTCTCCCTTGCTGCAAAGGGTAGGATATAAAACAATGACTTCAAATTATAGCAAAGTAGACTTAGATCAAATATCGGGGGCGGGGGGAGAAAAACCTTCCTTACAGTTTGAACAGTGTGGCAGTGGAATAGACTGCCCAGGGAAGTTGTAGAATCTCCTTCACTGGAAGTTTTCGAGAGGTTGGATAAGCATTGGACAGGGATGTTTTAGGATTTACATTCCTGCATTCTCACGGAGGACCAGATGGTCCTTAAAGTCCCTTCCACCCTATGATTAGCTCATGTCACACTGTCTGTAGGTCATTGAGCTCATTCAAGCAGAACCAGAATTGCCTCAGTAGCTTGCCTCAGAAATATTTTATTGTTGAATTTTGTAGAGTGAATTACATAGATGTTCATTCACACAATACACTCTTGGACTTAGATCTGAGACTAGATTTGGGAATGTAGTTGTGTAGTCTCTGTTTAAATAAAAAAACCTCGCATTCCTCCTGCAACATAGGCTGACATTCTTTATGAACTATGAAGAATGGGAATGCCTAGAGGTCTCACCTCATAGTGCAAGTTACTGATTTTAATCGTCCCTTCTTTGAGGATGTTGCTGCTGCATACTCACATCCCTGTCTTCTCTTCTTCCTCAGAGTTCTCAGCATAGTTATGGAGTCCATGGTTCATGAAAGGGAACAAAGTCATCTGGGGGTCACACAACATTTATAGCTTGGGCACAGAGCAGTGCCATGAGAAGCAGTGCTTGTGTATCTGTTCACTAGTCATGGCCTATTGCAAAGGGCATGGAAATGCAAAGCATTTCTCAAGCTCTATGGCTAAAGTAGCTAGGCAAAAGTAGCTACACTGTATTACCATATATCAATATATTTTGTGGTCTCTTTAAATAGTTTAATATCTACAAACTGCAAACTGTTAACTAAGAGTAATTCTATAACATTCTTATTGTAATCTACTTACTGGAACTAATGTCCTACGAATACACACAGAATTGTTGCTATGTTTTTCTCAGATGAAGAGTGCTAGAAAAACAGATACAGCCACAACTAATTCCTTTAAGGGAAGGACTACAGAGCCTGAAGGCTTTGGAGAAGATGAAAGGATTTTTCACTCACAGCCTGCCCACTGCCAAAGAAAGCTTGTAAGTTTTTAAGGAATATAATTTTTATTCATTAAACCTGAAATTGTTACATTTCTTGACAACCAGAGAAGCAATGAATTTCTCAATGGCCTCAAAATCACCATATTTAATTAAATACAAGACGAGGTTTTTTTTTCTCCCAGTCAGCATGGGCAGAAAAGACCCTTGTCTTATATTTACATACAAGGAAACCTCTTTAAATACATTGTCTGTCCTTAACCTACTGCAAAAAGCAGCAAGGGCTCAGTAATGGAAATAAACAATGAAGTTGATTAAATGCAGCCAGCCCTGAGCATGACTATAAAATGCATGAGTATAACTGTAAAACACATAGCCCCTGTTGGCCAAACATGCTGATGGGAGTGTGTACGCACATGCGCGCACGTGTGTGTGTGTCCATCCCTTAAAAAAAACAGCACTTGTCCCCCCAGGAGGAAATGAACAGTGGACCCACAGGTACTGCAATACCAGGCCAATGCTAAGAGAGGCCAAAACAAGCTCTGACGCTCTCTTCTGGTGCCAAAAATGAGCATGGGAATATTTATTTTGTTTAATTTTTTTTTTTTTTACAAATTTTATTAAAAACAGACTTATCACTCTACACTTACAAAGCTACACATATTGAGCATCCTTGTTTTACCAAGACTTCATAGCACAGAAACAATTACGTATCAAAAACATATAACTACATATATTAAACCCTTAGATAACATACAACATCCCACAAAACCCCCAAACCCTTACGGAAATCATTTTCTTTATGCAGAATCCCATGAAAAAAAAATATTACCTCAGTAACCACCTGAAACCCTGCACTTCCCATTGGTCTTCTCTGTTGGTTTAGCAAAACAAGGGTGTCCAGTCCCTTCTCCTCCACTTCTTCGCCACCTCTTCCTCTCTAATCTCTTTCTTGTCCCGATTGATATAGTATTTCAGTTCATGCAGCCCCAGCTTCAGGCATGCTTTTTCTGTGAAACACTCCTTAAACACCTAGAAATTTCTTACTTTCCATAAACTAATTTTAACACATGCTAATGAAGTGCTTAATAAAGTTTCCTCTGGTCCCTTTGGTATGAGTCCATATAGTACAATCTCCCATGTTAATGATAGGTTTATTCTGGTGATACTCAGAAAGCAGTGAACCCTTTCCCTTACCCCGTTTGCATGTGTAAACTCCAAAACACTTCCCACTGTTTCTTCTTCCCTTTACCTCTCCCTTGGGCATCTTGATGAGCTTGTCAAGCCCCATCTGTGTTGGAGTTCTCTTACTGGAAAGATATTTCTTACAACCATCCATGCTAAGTCAGCATGCTTACTTTTTAATTGTTTACCTGCCACGGCTCCCCGCACCACCTTCACTTGTCCTTCTGTGAAGTTTCCCGCTGGTGCCGTCTTGTCTCTTCTCCTTTACTGCTTTAATCAATTTCTTATGATCCTTCAGGACTTCCAGCCCTACCTTCCCTATCTTATACCGTTGCATGAATCCTTCCATTCTGATGTAATGAATTGACGGCTGCCATGCCCATGGACTCTTCAGAGGTCTGGGGCTCCGTGGTTGGACCCAGAGGGTGGTGGTTGATGGAAGTCAATCATCATTGTGCCCTGTGACCAGTGGGGTCCCCCAAGGCTCGGTCCTTGGACCTATATTGTTCAATATCTTCATTAATGATGTGGACATTGGAGTCAGAAGCGGACTGACCAAGTTCACTGATGATACCAAACTCTGTGGTAAAGCATCCACACCTGAGGACAAGAGGGCGATCTAAGCTGACCTTGACAGGCTCAGAAAATGGGCGGACTAGAACCTGATGGTGTTTAACACCGAAAAATTCAAGGTTCTCCACCTTGGGAGGAAAAACCTGCAGCATCCTTATAGGCTCGGCAGTGCTACGCTGGCTAGCACTACAGATGAAAGGGACTTGGGGGGTTATGACGGACCACAAGATGAATATGAGCCTTCAGTGTGATGCTGTGGCTAGTAAAGTGAGCAAAACGCTGGCTTGCATCCATAGATGCTTCTCAAGCAAATCCCAGGATGTCATTCTCCCATTGTACTCAGCCTTGGTGAGGCTGCAGCTGGAGTACTGTGTCCAGTTTTGGGCTCCACAATTCAAGAAGGATTTAGAGAAGCTTGAGAGAGTCCAGAGAAGAGCCACGCGCATGATCAGAGGTCAGGGAAACAGACCTTACAATGACAGGCTGAGAGCTATGGGACTTTTTAGCCTGGAAAAGCGCAGGCTCGGGGCGATCTGATGGCCACCTATAAGTTTATCAGGGGTGTTCATCAGGATCTGGGGGAATGTCTTTTCACTAGAGTGCCCCAAGGGATGACAAAATCGAACATTTATAAACTCCTGCAAGACCGTTTCAGGCTGGACAAAAGGAAGAATTTCTTCACTGTCTGAGCCCCCAAGGTCTGGAACAGCCTGCCATCAGAGGTGGTTCAAGCACCTCCACTGACCACCTTCAAAAGAAATTTGGATGCTTATCTTGCTGGAATCCTATGACCCCTGCTGACTTCCTGCCCCTCGGGCATGAGGCTGGACTCGATGAACTTCCGAGGTCCCTTCTAGCCCTAATGTCTATGAAATCTATGAAATAAACTCCCCACTTCTTCAAAATTGCAGCTGCATGAAATTGGCTGATATGTGCTGCTTTCTCCTCTCCCTCCATTACCACTTTGCATGTCACACTAACGTATTTCACACAGATGAACTAGTCCAGCAGCTCACATTCCTCCATCTCTCTTACTTCATACAATTCAGCTCTAGTCAACCTTTCTCTTTTGGCATTCCAGAAGAGCACACAAATTTCCTTCTGTACTTTTGTAATCTGCCACCATGTTGGTGGGAACACAATCTCCATATATAGAGTAATCAGCACAGCCTTAAAGGCCTTAGTAGAGCCTTAAATGCCACTTTTCTGGCAAAGGATAGTATCCTCCCAGACCATAACCAAAATATTTGCCATTCGCCTTGCCATTACCTTTTCCCATGCTGTATTAACTTTTCCTTTGTCATCCACCAGGATCCCTAACATTCTGATTTCTCTCTCTCTTATTTAAAGGCCCAACATCTCCAAGTCCCTCCAATTCACCATTCCCCTTATGGTTCTCTTTGATCTATTTAGTTTAGCTCCTGTTGCTTCTCCATACTCTGATCTATGCCTTAGTACCCTTTCCAATGAAGTCTATCTCAAACTACTGTATTTATATCATCCATGTATAGCATGCATTTTATCTCACCCCATCCCAGTATCATTACTTCGTTTTTGACCTTGTCTTATTCTTTGTGCTAATGGTTCCATGCTGCACACAAACAGTATTGGTGACAGGGAGAAACCTTGTCTTATCTCTGTATACATTTTAAAGACCCTGCTTAGATGCCCATTAATTTGGACTTGACTTTCTGCTTCTTTATCCAACAGCTTTATCCAACATATAAATTTCCCTGGGAACCTCATTTTCTTAGCATCTCGAATATGTCATTATGATTACATAATTATACTTGGTACAACTTGAGAGAGTCCAGAGAAGGGCCACCCATATGATCAGAGACTTGCATGGCAAGCCATACGAGGAAAGGCTGAGGGACCTGGGACTCTTCAGCCTGAAAAAAAGAAGGCTGAGAGGGGACTTGGTAGCAGTTTACCGCTGTCAAGAGAGTATATCAGGGGCTCGGTGAACAACTGTTCACCAAGGCACCCTTGGGGAGAGCAAGGAGTAATGGCCACAAACTCCTGGAAGATCATTTCAGGCTCAACATTAGGGAAAAGTTGAGCCTGGGGAAGCTTTTTGAGAAGATTATCCAGGAGTGCATCTGGGAAGGACCAGCAGTGGGGATGATGCTCAGGGACAACCAGCATGGGTTCATTAGGGGCAGGTCCTGTCAGACCAACCTGATTGCCTTCTATGATCAGTTCACAAAATCATTGGATGCAGGTGTTGCGGTGGATGTAGTCTTTCTGGACTTCAGGAAGGCCTTTGACACTGTCTCCCACCCCATTCTCATTAAAAAGCTAGGTGACTATGGCACTGATGCCTACACAGTCAGATGGGTCACAAATTAGCTGAGGGACTGCACCCAGAGAGTGGTGGTGGACGGGGTCATATTCGACCTGGAGGGAAGTGGGCAGTGGGGTCCCCCAGGGCTCGGTCCTTGGGCCTGCACTGTTTAATCTCTTTATTAGCGACTTAGATGAGGGGGTGAAAACCACCTTGTTCAAATTCGCTAACAACACCAAGATCTGGGGCAAGGTGGGCACGCTAGAAGGGAGGGACAGGATGCAGCTGGATCTGGACAGGTTACAGGGATGGGCGAATGAGAATAGGATGGGATTCAATACTGACAAGTGCAGAGTGCTGCACTTGGGCAGTAAGAACCAGCAGGCTGGGGAACTCTCTTCTCGAAAGCTCAGTGGCAGAAAGAGACCTTGGAGTCATTATCGATTCCAAGATGAACATGGGTCGCCAATGTGAGGACATGGTCAGTAAGGCCAACTGCACCTTTTCATGCATCCACAGATGCTTCACAAGCAGGGCCAAGGAGGTGATCCTGCCTCTCTATGCGACACTGGTCAGGCTGCAGTTGGAGTACTGCATCCAGTTCTGGGTGCCGCACTTCAGGAGGGATGTGGCCAGCATCAAGAGGGTCCAGAGGAGGACCACTTGCTTGATCTAGGAGCAGCAGGGCAGGCCCTATGAGGAGAGGCTATGGGACCTGAACCTGTTCAGCCTCCACAAGAGAAGGCTGAGAGGGGACCTGGTGGCCATCTACAAACTTACCAGGGGGGACCAGTGAGGTATGAGAGAGACCCTGTTCACCCGAGCACCTCCCGGAGTAACAAGGAATAACGGCCATAAGTTGCTAGAGAGTAGGTTCAGGCTGGACATTAGAAGACACTACTTCACAGTCAGGGCAGCTAGGATCTGGAACCAACTTCCAAGGGAAGTAAGGCTGGCTCCTACCCTGGGGGTCTTTAAGAGGAGGCTTGATAATTACCTATCTGGGGTCATATGAGCCCAGTATTCTCTCCTGCCCAGGGCAGGGAGTCGGACTTGATGATTTACTTAGGTCCCTTCCGACCCTACCAACTATGAATCTATGAAAACTTCTTCACAGTCAGGGTGTCCAGACTGTGGAATAAGCTTCCACCAGAAGTGGTGCAATTGCCTGCCCTGGAAATCTTCAAGTGGAGACTGAATAGTCATCTTGCTGGGGTCACCTGACCCCACCTGTCTTTCCTGCCTAGTGCGGGAGGCTGGGCCCGACGATCGTCTGAGGTCCCTTCTAGCCTCACAATCTATGAATCTATGAACGATCCACTCTGCCATATGCTGTTTCTAAATCTAAGTTTGCTATAACTGCATTTGTTTTTCTATCTTGGATGTGGGACCATGCATCTCTGATCACTCTGATTACTTTGGAGATCCTCCTACCTGGTACTGTGCATACTTGGTCTTCATGTATTATCTTTTGGAGGCTTCTCCTCACCCTCAAAGCCAGTGTCTTGAACATTAACTTATAGTCCATATTAAGGAGTATAATAGGTCTCCAGTTTTTCAGGAGTTCCTTCTCCCCTTTCTTGAAGAGTAAGATCACAACATCTCTTGTAGAATCTTTCCTGTTTCTGCTGTTTCCTCAAACACTTCCACTATATCCTACCCTGCCCATGCCCAAAACTCCTCATAAAATTCCATAGGAAGTCCATCTGCTCCTGATGATTTCCCTCTTTTACAGGTTTTTGAGCACTCCTCCACTTCCTTTAAACTTATCTTTTCATCCATCTTCTTTGCTTCCTCCTACTTTACTTTCTCTTCAGTGTCTTCCAAGAAATCCTTCGTCTTCTTCCTCTCTGTTTCCTTCTTCTGGTATAGCTCTTAATAAAATCTTCTCATCACCTTCAACACCTCCTCCTGCTTTTTCACTCAGGTGTACCATCTTCTTACACTGCTATAAGCTCTCCTTTTGCCGCAGTCACTCTGGCTGAAAAGTATCGGGACCACTCTTCATTTTCTCCCCAACCAGTGTGCTTGTGCTAAGAATATTTTCTCTCTTGTCCAGGTTTCTAACTCTTGCCTTGTTTCTTCTAGCTTGCTTCCTTGTGTGGCTTCCTTTATCAGCTCCTGCATCTTTCTTTGCAGCTATCTTAGCACTTTCAATCCTCGGACTTCCTTCCTAAAGAACTCTCTCGTCCTCTTCTTCTTCATCATCCACTATTCCCTGGTACTTCCTAAATACTTCTTCAGTTTTCACCAGCCCTCATACTGTCTCACGTACACTTGACATATCTCTTCATGTAACAGCTGCACGTTTTACCTTTCACATTGTCTTCCCTCTTACGGCGCTCTGACCAAGACTCATTTCCACCTTCAGCATCCAATGATCACTAAAAGCCACATGTATGGTTTCTTTCTTCCTTACTCCTATTTCTTTTGATACAAGCACAAGCTGTGACAGCACAGGGCCAGGGTTTCCACGGAAGCTAGCCTCAGCAGTGCTAGCAGGGTGAGGAGCTGCTCTGGGGCTGGGATCTTATTGGCAATGACAGTGTGGTCTGAAGCAGGGCAGAGCTACAATCTGCTGCTCACACGCCTCAGGCAGGGGTGTGCAGGCAGCGGATCATGGCTTTGCCCCATCTCTGGACCACACTGTCATCACTACAAGATCCCAGTCCGGGCCCCAGAGAAGCTCCCCACCTAGCTGTGCACCCTGCCAGTGCTGCTTTGGGGCACCTATGATACAATCATACACCTATGATGCACAAATAATGGACTAAATGTTGTCACCTGTTTTAAAAACCAGGATCTACTTTTTCTCAGATTTTGGAACAGTAGGAGTGGAAATAGACCTCACCTTTCCTTGCCTTTGTACAGCCATAATTTTTTTTATGGCAGCACAGATGTGACACAAACAGATATTCATACCCTTTGTTGTACCACAAATGCCCAAAATTTGTGACAGTGACAAAAGTAGTAATGGATTGTGCCATTTTATTGCAGCAGATGTCTGTTTACTTGGTAGTGGGAAAGTGTGGGCAGCCTGAACTTCCTACACTTTCCAGCCACCCTGGGCAGGTGCTCCACAGGTTTGAGAAGTCTGATTCTGTGCACTCCAGGGCATTCCCAGGCTGGATTGAGCCCCTGCCAAGCTTTAAGCAGGGAATGTTCCGGGTTCTGCACTGGGTAGACATGCCTGGGCTTTCCCTGCATAACAAAATGTGCCCCCCAGATGTTGTTTTAAGTAGGGAAAGCCCGAGCTTTCCCTGCTTAAAGAGACCTGCCCTTGGAATCTCTCTGATGCGTCTTCTTAATCAGGAAACCCCAGGCATTGCCTGCTTGAAGAAACATGCCCCCTGGAGGTGTACCATGCTGATCCATATCTCTGTGCGAAGCACAGGGTGGCACAGGACCTACTGCAGGTCCCAGGATGGAGGTAGGGAGTGCTAGGAATTCCTTGGTTCCCCCACCACCATGCTGGGACCCACACTGACCCATGTTTCACCCAGGGGGACATCACAAGGCGGTGTGGGGCAATGAGAGAGATGGGGAATTCCCTGGCAAGGGGAACAAGTCACCCCTTGTTGTGCATTAGGCTCCTGGCCCTATGGGAGACAAGCAGCAATGTGCATTTCACCCAATAAAGCAGATGATACACTTCAGTTTGTTGATGGTTTTTTAAACTAAGAGACGGGATTTTCATGGCTTGATGGAAAACAAGGGTTAGAGCTGGGAATTGTTAGCATACTAATAGCATTAGTTAATCCTTATCATATACAACTGAAATCTTCAGTGCTAAAGTGTCTAAGTGTATACTGCAAATTCTCCAACTTTTGCAGAATTAAACTTGCTGTAAGTTCTGGCTTTATTAAGTTTGTCATTATGTTCAAGGTCCTTGGAGGATCTTTGATTTTTTTAAAATGTAAGGCTTTTAAAGTCTGAGTTTTCTTTTATATAGTTAGTACTTTTCATTCTTTCCATTTACATACTGTAACTGAATATTTTAGAAGATGCTAAGAAATATATATATAGACTTTTTATTGGTTGATTAAATCTATGAAAGTGTGGGATAGAATTCAGTGTTCAGATTCAGGAGTTTTGAATGGGTCTGGCTAAATGGGCCTCTCCTGTTTGGAACAAGAAATGTTAAGAATGGGGTTCCACATTAGAGGGTTCATCCTGCCATGTACATCCTTAGATAAAAATAAAATCTTGGGCAAGTCATCTTCTGTTTTTGACATAAACACTCCATCTAATTTCCCATAATTCCAATAAAAAATGCTAAGGATGAGTATCAGAGATGACCTCTAATTTAGTAGGTACTTTTTCAAAAAGAACACCAGTTTTCCACTCTTATGAAACAAACCATACTTTTCAGTGGCAAGATCTTGGGCTCCCTAATATGGAAAATGATCAGATTTAAGTCTTTCCATTCCCTTAATCTAGAGTTTTAAAAGTAGACTGGGCAAAACATTAGAAAATGTATTGAAGGAAAAATCTTGTCTTTGGAAACAGAGATAAAACCTGAAAAATCCAAAAAGCCCTTTGAAATCAGAAAAGGTACAGGAACAAAAGTAATTTTAGTATTCTATTTTTAATTAATTTATTATCAATAATAACATTTTAATAAAATATTTTGCTTACTGATGATAATGAGGAACTTGGACTTGTATATAAATCAAGTTCTGCTTAGTGTTTGAAGTCCTCAGAATATTCGACAAAGCTATTTAGTATCAGAATAATAATATTTAATATTGACTTAATATCAGTTATAAGAGTTTCATTCCCTGAATAAAAATAATAAGGAAATTGTCAACATTGTCTGGAATTTCATATTTTTGTAAATACCTGAAATAATGATAGGATGAGTCCTTGCTCTGATTAAGCTTCTGCCTCCCTTTCTCTCTCCCTTCCCTCCCAAGGAATGCCAGCCTTAAGTACTGTGGATAACATCTTTTATTTCCTGGACCATCATGGCAATAACATCACTTCAAAACTGTGTTTAAGTATTGCATTCCTAAGTTTGCTGCCAGCACATTATTGGGTAGTCCATCAATAGCTCCCACCTCCTTGACTCTCTTTGCCTTATTTACTTCCTTTCTAATGGTAGTACTGAATCCTTCTGTTCTTTCCTAGTGCTGGTTCTGCACCCCAAAGGCTTAGATACTTCCCTAAAGCCTGTATCTTCCTGTCTGTGCTTCTATATGATATGGAATTAATCTTTGATTAATATTTGAATACATTCCACATGAAGATTCAATTCTCTACAGGTTATCTCTGTTTCTTAATTCATTTGCAGGTATCAAATTTAGGCCTAAATTAGCAAATGGCCTAAATTAGCCATGTTTAATGTACATTAAGGGTATGCATGTGTAGATGTGAGCCCTTAATGTGCATTAACTCAGTCTAATGCTCATTGAAGTGTCCTGTATACACACCCATAGAGATGCAAGTCGACTTCAGAATCCATGTTTAATAAGGCCCATTCACCTTACACTGCATGAAATAATTTAATGTTGACAAATAATTTAATGTTGACAGTTATCCATATGTGCTTCTTATTTTATCTTTATTTGTATTGTTTTCTGAACCAAAGAAAAAAATATTGACATCTTATGACGTATCACTGGACTCAGTTAATGATGCCTATCAAAGACAAAGGTTAATGAGTGCAGCCAGCATCATTACTGATAACATGAGTAAGTTCTGCTTCAGCATTCTTTACTACACTCTTTGTCTAAGTTGGTTGGAAGGTTCAGAATGTCACTAATACATAATCAGAGAGAGGAAGTTAGCCTTGTTAGTCTGAAGTCATGCAGAAGGCAGGGTAGATTTGCATCTTATAAACTAAATCAGAGAGGTATAGCATAAATTTTTGTAAGGAGGCTTCTGATGAAGTAAGTTCTCTGCTTCTGAGAGCTTATGCCATACCTCTATGACTTAATTGTCTATAAGGTACAAATCTATGCTGCCTTCTAATTAATACACAAAACATGTTGTTTTAACAACAACTAGGCAGGCAAGGTTCTTTGGGCAGATGGTATATCTTTTATTAGACCAATTGAGTCGTTGGACCAAATAAGGTAGTTGGGTTACAAAGGTAGTTGGGCTACACTGTCTTTTTATCCATGGACATCAAACTGTGACATACCTTGGGTGCACTCAAACAGTCCCAACAGGAAAAACTAAGTAGAGGTTTCATGAGCTTGTTGTTGGGGATGCTGACCCTAGATCAGTGGGTACACATATGTGACTCACAAAAAATAAACAAGTAACCTTCCTTTTTCTAATTTCACATTTGAAAAAAGTATCTGTAGCATATTCAGAAAATGCAATGCCTGCACAATGGTGGGTGACATCATTTGTGCTGATCTTGATCTTAAACTAAATGACTGAAAAGCCTCTGTAATGAGTGAATGATTTGACTATTGAACATGTTTTCTTGGTCATTACTGGTGAGTTGGGAAATTGAAGGAAATACTCTGAGCTGGAGGTGATTGATTTTTTTGTCATATCATTTTGACTAATGATGACTTTATTGCCTTTTTTTTTTGCCTCCTTGTCATTTAGCATTGAAAAGATCAATATGGAAATGTCCTCCATCTTGGAATCGCTTTGCCCAAAAATATCTTATTTGGCAATGTTGTCCACTATGGATACGTATTAAAGAGAGCGTGAAGCTTATAGGAATGGATCCACTTACTGACCTCTTTTTCACTTTGTGTATTGTGGTAAATACTGTAGTGTTGGCACTAGAGCACCCCACTATGAACTTGAAGTACAAACACTTGATTAATATAATCAATCATGTAAGTGAAGTATTATGATTATTATAGGTAGGGCTAAGAGCATTGTATATTATGCAGGTTGCCTGGCACTCCTAGTAGTGCAGAGGTGTCAAACTTGCTGGAACAGGGGGCTATAGGCTTCTGTTACTTTAAGGAGAGGTCACAGCAGGCCAAGCTTGCAGTGTATGGGAGGCAGCTGGGCAAAGGCTAGCTGCTAGAACAGGAGCGGGCAATTATTTCAGGTGGAGAGCCGCTTACCGAATTTTGGCAAGCTGTTGAGGACTGCATGGGTAGCCCCACCCCCTGATGGGTGCCCCACCCCCTGGTCACCATCTTATGACTGGAAGTCCTGCCCCATAACCCTGACCTTTACTACCAGAAGTCCCTCCCTTTCTGGAAGTACTCCTTTCAGCAAGGGGTTTTCCCACCTTGGAACCAGAAAAATACCAAATCATATTCTAAAAAAAACCCATCTACAGCATTCATTAATTTGAGTTCAAAAAATATTTTTGTCCTGATTTACATGTGTTGATGTAGTGTACATAGAGGTGATCGTACAATAGCTTAAAATGAAGCCTTACTTGAGGGGGTGGGTTTGTGGGAGTCTGTGTGTATGGCAATGCGAGGGGGGGGTGCATGTGCATGTTGGGGTATACGTGTTCACCCTATGAACACACACACACACACACACACACACACACACACACACACACACACACACACACACTGCCTGCTCCTGCCTGCCTGCACACCCACACCCACGCTGCTCCTGCCTACATACACCAACTGCCCCTGTTTATGCGCACATGCATACACATACACATGTACTGGCATGACCCCATGCTCCCCGGTACAGTGATGCTCCCCAGTACAGCTATGTTGTGTTAGCCATGTGGTGCCATAGCAGGGCAGGGGAGGAAGAGAGTGAAATGGCTGGGGGTGGGGTGGGGTGGGGCTGGGCTGCTCAGTCCTGCAGAGGGTCCCTCCGGGGTCCTACTGCCCCTGGCTCCTGTCAGCTTTGACAGGCAACCGGGGCAAATGAATATTAATATACCAATTTTTTTAGGGGCTCTGCAGGCCAGATCAAATCACCTGGCAGGCTGGATCCAGCCACTGTGCTAGTAAGTAAGCAGGCCAGAGACAGCAAGGTTAGGCGCTACCAGTGGGGAGTGACTATCCTGGTGCTAGCTGCACTTCAGTAAGCAGCCAAGGGACAAACCTACAGGTAGTCCAGAAATAAAAAGGCTGCAAGCAGGCTTTAAGCTGCAGCAGAGGAAGGCAGGGTAGCCATTAAGCCAGGGACGGGCAATTAGTTCGGATGGAGAGCCGCTTACTGAGTTTTGGCAAGCTATCAAGGTCTGCATGAAAGGCAGCCAGGGGCAGATAAATATTAATTTTCTAAATTTTTTAGGGGCTCCGTGGGCCGGATAGAATGGCCTGACAGGCCATATCTGTCCTGCGGGCTGCATTTTGCCCACCCCTTCATTAAGCCAAGGGGGAAACCCTTGTGGGTGGCTGGAAAGCGAGATGACAGGAAGGGGTGGTGCTTTGGGTCACATAAGCTAAGTGCCTGAAACACAACAGCCCATCTGGCCATGCATGATGCAGGGAGAGGAGCTCCTGGGGGAGAGAGATGCAGGAGATGGACCAGCAGCCACCTAAGCTACCCAGGAGAGCTGGAAGGAGAGAGCTAAGGGAGACTTGTGGCTTGTGGTGTGGGAGGGACTAAAGTAGAGTGAATGTTAGTTGTGCAGCAGTTTGCTTGTATTTATGTTGTGATTCAGCTTGACACTGGAGGACCAGGTCATGGCTGTAGGGCAGGATGGAGCCATGGAGGGGTGCCTGTAGGGCAGATCCAACACAGGGCAGCAGCAGCTGTCATGCAATAGTGGCCACAGCCACCACAGCAGAGACAGCTACAGTGCACCACCAGCAGCAGGCCAGGTGATTGAAAGTTTTGTCAGATAACCCTTGTACACCCCACTGCCTCTGAGGATCATGTCCATTGGAGCCCCAGGGGCCCAGATTTGTAGCAGGGCACACCCACTGCTGAACATGCCCCCAAACTCCATGGCATGCTGGTTGTCCTGCTGGCCAGATAGAATGGTTCTATGGGCCAGATCCAGCCCCTGACCCTATGTTTGACACCCCTGTTCTAGGGCAAGGTTTTTAGTTGCTTATAATTTTGCCAAACTTAGACTATTTGGGCTGAATTTTTCTGTACTGAGAGACTGCCTTATCTGAAAATGTCCCCTGCCAAAATTCAGTGTAAAATAGTTCAGCTTGTTGCTGAGAGTGAGACAAGGGAAAAATCAATTGTTTTTTAATCTTGAAACCCTTTCTTTTGAAAGTTCTGGCAGCCCTATGATCTGGAGTAAGGACTTGAAGTTTGACTTATCTCTGTTTGTCAGAGAGATGGCTTTTATAGTCCTTGCAAAAAGCTATTCAAATCTGGCCAAGCTATATGCCTTTGAAAAACCACAGCTTGTACATGCTCAGTAGAGTTTGACAAGAACTAGGATCAGAATCCTGAGGATTTGAGACTGGGACAAGGAGTCAACAGTAGTACTAGGACATGAGCAACTTGATGGTAATGGGGAAGTGGTCAAATTTGAAGGGGAATGGATAGAAGAATTGTTGCTTATAGGGTAAATTTCCCTCCAGACCCTCAAATGTAATCCACGATTCCTGAGCCTTGCTATTCCTTTGTGTCAGCAAGTGTCTACTGAACCCTCAGAAATTGCACTGTACCTCCTCCACTATTGGGCTACAGCAAAAATTATGGCATCCTTCTTCCTGAGCAAATGAGTGTGGAAACATAATTTGATCTTATAAAGAGACAATCCTGCCAGGAAGCATGATTGTATTGCCTTTTATACTGACATCAGTTTGTTTCCCTTTTACAGGTCTTCACTGGAATTTTTACAGCAGAAATGATCTTGAAAATGATTGCTCTAGACCCCTACTACTATTTTCAAGAGCACTGGAATATTTTTGACAGCTTAATTGTTGTGTTAGGCCTAATGAGCATACCTGAAGGAATAAACCTGTCGTTTCTCAAATTGGTAATAAATCCTCTTCTTCTGTTTCACAACATGATAAACTTTTTATATGGATCTATAAAAAGATTTCCCTCCAATAATTTTATTTTTAGATTGGTGAATAGCTATTGCTAAACATTTTAGACTAGATCCATGTGACTATTTGTGTCTAAATTCTTTAATGATTTTATAACTGTGTACTCAAACAGATTATCAATAAATAAACAAGAATATTAAATTAGATCAGGGTATCAAACATACAGCCTGCAGTCTCGATTTGCCCTGTGGGGCTTTTCACTGTGGCTGCCAACAACCAAGGCATTTAACACTGCTGAAGTTTTGTTTCTGGAGCTGCCAGAGTTGCAGTGTTGGCGTGGCCAGCATGCAAGAGGTGAACGCCACTGCTGAATTTAGTAGTTTCAGTTATGGCTGGCAATTGAAATCTACATAATTCACCCACTGGATACATTCTGTATTGACACTACTACTGTGGCAGTCATGTTAGCAGAAGTTCGGTGGTAGCAGTATTAACTCCTTGGCTGCTGATGCCAACACAGCAGTGCTTGTTGCCCAGAGAGAAGCCCTACAGTCTGGATCCAGAGGTGGGTTGTCAGGCCCTTGAGAGGCCCTATGGTCCACACCTGGCCCACCAACCCATTTGCTTTGTTAGATAAAGCCAACAACACATTCAAGTGTTTCCTAAATGGTTTATGTGGGAATCTACAAACCTTCTTTCACTGTTGGAGTCTCTCCTGAAGATTCCAACTCTGGTCAGGATATGGACCTCCATAACTTTTCTCTTCAGAATGGGAATCAGCTCTGTTACTTCAAAACTAGTATTCAAGCGGTCCTCTTTTTAACTTGCAAATGGATACACATACACATACACACACACACACACACGCGCGCGCGCGCGCGTGTGTGTGTGTGTGTGTGTGTGTGTATATGGACCTTGGTATATATATTTAGAGCAAGGGTCCTTAAAAGTACTCAAATATCAATTTAAACAAAAAATTTCAAACCAACTTTTCAAACGTTCTTTTTCTGTCTCAAGATCTAGTTCAGACAGTGAAAAATTGTAGAGCAAAGCAGTCATTTCTTTTCTGAGTAAACAATTTCCCCCCCTCAAAAATTTAGACTATAGTTTATTTTAGAAGTTCAATGTTATAAATATAGTATCTGATTTTCTGCTACCTGATGCTGTTCTATTGTGTTTTATCTACAGCTGAGAATCTTCAAATTGGCAAAATCCTGGCCGGCCTTAAATAAGCTTATGAAAATCATTTTGAAGTCATTTGGTGCCTTGAGTAACCTCACTCTGGTTTTGATTATCACCGTGTTTATTTTTGCTGTAGTAGGAAAACAGGTTTTGGGAAGCTATTATGAGAATAGTACTCGAATAAGTACAGATGGGAAGTTACGCTGGCATATGAAAGATCTCTCTCATTCATTACTTATTGTATTCCGAATTTTATGTGGAGAATGGATTGAAACCATGTGGGAATGTATGGAAGTGGCTGGGAAAGCACGGTGTCTTCCTGTCTTCCTGACAGTCCTGGTGATAGGAAATCTAGTGGTGAGTTCTAAATAATTTTGTTTTTCAAATGTATACAAATGTACTTTCACATCTCTTTTCCCAGAAAGTATAAATGATCTCCAAGGCAAATATGTCCTCCTTTGAACTAATGTTTTGGTTACATAATGGTCAAAATATGTGCAGTAAATCAATGTGATACAACAGGGATGTTAAACAGACGGCCTGTGGAGCCACTCTATCTAGAAGTTGTGGGGTATGGCTGCGGGGGAATGGTCTGCTGCAGAATCCAGGGCACTTAAGCTTCAGTGGACATGGCAGTCGATAGCAGGTGGACAAGCAAGGGCTGCACAGCCCTGGTCACCCTCTGGTCACTTCACCTGTTGTCATATTGTGGCTGTACTCCCCAGCTGCTGGACCCTGCCACATGCCCCATACTGGAGCTGGATCCACTGTAGCATAGGGCATGCAGCAGCAACAGCTCCAGCAAAGGGCATGCAGTGGGGGCTGGAGCCACAGCTACGTTCTGTGTCCAAGCCAGAGCTGCCATTGCCACCAGCATCAAAAGGCTGGGGTTAGAGCAGGGGCTTAGTGCCGTAGCAAGTGTGGGGTGAGCAGGGCAACTGCCCCAGGTGCCAAAGCTAAGCAAGTGCCAACAGGCACTGCCCAGCCAAGTCAAGGTGCAGGATGGAGTTGTTAGCGGCTCATTTTGGGGGGCGCAGGGACAAGGGAAGGGTGGCTCCCCCTGCTGCATGCACTCCTGGCAAGCATGTGTACCCACCCACTCTCCGATTTGTGCACAGGGTGTGTGTGGGCTGCCACTGCGGGCCTTGCCCCAGGCGCAGAACTTTGGAACCTTGTGGTCTGGATCCAGCTCAGGGCACAAGTTGAATTTGACCCTCCCCTCCTCATCTTACAGTATACAGTGTATTATATAAGATCTATGGATTTAGTAATTGTGTCTATAGCCCTTTCTTTTTTTCTTTTTTTTGAGGGGGGCAGGGGGGCGGGTTATGATGGCTAAGTGGCCAAACCACTTCATGAGCCTTACACTTCTTCATTTCTATTTCCTTCACTTTTAGCAGGCTAGAGGAACTAGATTTTCTTATCCACTTGGTTTCGTCTATATCTGATGTATGATATAACTTATCCCTGCCTCCTTTGTAACCATATTGCTTGTTTGCTTTCTTACCTTTCCATACTTTTTGTCTTTATGGAGTATCATTAAACTATGCCTTTTTGGATCTAACTAAACTAAATTCACATATTATAGATTAATTCACTAAATTAAAAAAAAACAGGAGAAAAATATGTTACTGTGCTGATTCAAGAATGAGAGAGTTTTGGGTAATTTTAACTTTTAAAAAATCAAGGTTTTCTAAGGCTGTTTTTTTCAATTAAAACAATTTCTTCAACTTACTTTTGCTTTCGTTTGTTTTAAGGTACTCAACTTGTTCATTGCCCTGCTCCTGAGTTCTTTCAGTAGTAACACCCAAACAACACCAGAAGGGACTGAAATTAAACTTCAGCTTGCTTTTGATCGTATTTACAGTGGTTTGCAGTTCATGAAACGCATCATATCGGATCAAATTGGCAAAATACTGAGACAAGAGCTGACACTGCAAGCCTGTCAGAAGGCTAAAATGAAAGCAACTGCCCCAGCCATGAAGATGTATGAGGATTTTGTGACGCATACTAAAACATCTGTCTGTGTCCCCATTGCTGAGGAAGACCTGTACAGCGTGGAGTATGATGATTCATGCAGCATGTACTCCACAGAAATGGAGTATGGAAAATGGGTAAGAAATGTCAGTGTTTTGACATTCTTTCATACATTTACCTTTGAAAAATAGTCTGTGGGACTTAACAGTAAACAGTAAGCTGGGTCTTTAATCATTTTGTTCTGTCATTTCTATATGCTTAATACTTTAATCAATGTACAAGATGGACTTCATTCCCATTCCAGTCACATACCTGTTCTTTAATTTGATTTAAACTTGCTATATTTGTTTTGAATATCTTCATAGATTTCATAGATGTTAGGGCTGGAAGGGACCTCGAAGATCATAAAGTCCAGCCCCCTGCCTCAGGGGCAGGAAGTCAGCTAGGGTCAAAGGACCATAGCAAGATAAGAGTTCAAACGTTTCTTGAAAGAATCCAGAGTAGGTGCCTGTACCACATTTGGAGGGAGTCTATTCCAGGTCTTGGGGGCTTGGACAGTAAAGAAATGTTTTCTTATGTCCAGCCTAAAATGGTCTTGTAGGAGTTTATGACCATTGGTCCTTGTTTTTCCTTGGGGTGCTCTGGTGAACAGATGTTCTCCCAGATCCTGATGAACACCCCTTGTGTACTTATAGGCAGCCACCAGTTCCCCCCTGCGCCTACGGTTTTCCAGGCCGAAGAGTACCATGGCTCTCAGCCTCTTCATAAGGCCTATTCTCTTGCCCTCCGATCATGCACATGGCTCTCCTCTGAACTCTCACAAGCATCTCCACATCCTTCTTGAATTGTGGAGCCCAGAATTGGATGCAGTACTCCAGCTGCGACCTCACCAAGGCTGAGTATAGCGGGAGGATGACATCCTGAGATTTACTTGAGAAGCATCTGTAGACACAAGCCAGGGTTTTGTTTGCTTTGCTAGCAGAGACATCACATTGCAGGCTCATATTCATCTTGTGGTCAATAATGACCCCCAAGTCTCTTTCAGCATTGGTGCTAGCAAGCGTAGCACTGCCTAGCCTATAAGTATGCTACGGGCTTTTTTTCTCTGACGTGAAATACCTTGCATTTATCAGTATTGAATGTCATCAGGTTTGTGTCCACCCACTTACTAAGCTTATCCAAGTCAGCCTGGATCACTAACCTGTCCTCAGGTGTTGATGCTATGGCCCAAAATTTAGTGTCATCGGCGAACTTAGCCAGTGTGCTTCTGAAACGCCAGTGAGCTTCTGACACCAATGTTCACCTCGTTGATAAAGATGTCGAAGAGAACAGGTCCAAGGACAGAGCCTTGGGGGACACTACTGGTTATGGAGTGCCATAATGACTCACTGCCTTTAACCACTACTCTCTGGGTCTAACCTCGGAGCCAATTATCCAGCCATTGGACTGTGGTGTAGCCGAGGCCACAGTTGGCCAGTTTTTCCATGAGGAGGTCATGGGACACCAGATCAAAGGCTTTTTTAAAGTCCAGGTATATGACCTCAATCTCTTCTCCCTTGTCCAGGTGATACATCACCTGGTCATAGAAGGAGATGAGATTGATCAGGCAAGACCTACCTGTGACAAACCCATGCTGGCTATCCCTCAGGATGTTGCCCTCAGCCAGTTTGTTCAGAAGGGTCTCCTTGATAATTTTCTCAAGAACCTTACCAGGGATTGAGGTCAAGCTGATTGGCCTGTAATTACTGGGATCTACTTTCTGCCCTTTCTTGAAGATGGGTACCACATTGGTCTTCTTCCAGTCTTCAGGTACTTCACCTAAGTGCCATGAATTTTCAAATATTTTTGCCAATGATTGGGCTATGACACCCGTCAGCTCCTTGAGTACCCTAGGGTGTAATCTGTCAGGACCAGCTGACTTAAAGGTGTCCAGCCTCTCAAGGTGATCCTTTACTAGATCAACAGTGATGCTAGGTATAAATACGCCCTCACCCTGGCCACACTTATTATATGAAAGAAAGATTTTCGTGGAAAACAGAAGGTTGTCAACATCCAGTTTGGCAGAGTTTCAGTGCAGAATGTTTAATTCATTGCTGTAAGATATTGAATATACTAACTGCTTTATAAAATTCATTGTCTGCATGAAAAGAGAGTTCATAATGTGCATATTGGTTTTTCTGGTTCCCTTGTAGCAATGTGAATAGAAGCAGCTACCTTTCTGCTTCCTTATTTGTCCAGTGGTTTCCACAGGAGAAGTGTTATTGATATTCCACTGTACTATACTTTCCCTCTCAATTTTCCCTTTGTTTTACATAATTCTGTTTTATCTCTATTTTCTCATGGCTAAAGTAAAGTTTGACCAAGAGAGAAATGTTGCTTATTCTTCTTTCTATGCTGTTACTAACGGATGTGATTCAGAATCATTTGAGGGCAGATACTTTGAATCAGTGAGCTATTCATAAATTTACCACAATACTTAACTGAAATTCAAATTAGCACCCTGAAAATAAAGCAGGGTTTTTTTTACTCTTTCTTCTCTCTGAAAATCTCAGATTTTTTTTTTAGGCCCCCAGTTTACTTTCTGGGATGTTTTGGACATCCTCTAACTCGGGGGCCCTGTCAGCCCAAGCTTCTCTTGGTCTGGTATCTGGTACCATGTAAACTAGTACAGCCTGTTCCATGGTTGGGCTGTCGGTGACTAAATCAGCACCCCTACCCAGACTAGCCTAAGTGAGAAGCAGGGATACTGGTTTTCTTCGATTTAAAAAAAAAAATCACCAACTTTTGGTTAAAAAAAGTAACTCCAACCCCAACCAAAATCTAAATTCATACATATACAAATATTCGTGAATGACGAACCTGCATCTTACGTACACTTAAAGGAGCTCCTCAGGAGCTCCGTGCTTGCCACTGCCACACTCCTGCCACCACGCTTCTGCCACTGCGCTTCCGCCATCATCTCCAGTGCAGCCATGCCCCCACCCCCCAGCCACTTGGGGCACAGCATTCATGAATGCAGACAGCATTCATGAACACAGTGCCTTATTTGCGGATTTCACCATTTGCAGGGGATATGAGACAGTATCCCCCGCGAATGGTGAGGGTCGAGGGTCTCCTGTGTGTGTATGTGTGTGTGTGTGTGTGTGTGTGTGTATAGCATTATATGTATAGCATAATATTATAAGTATAGCCTAAAAAGAGAAAGCTGAGAGGGGACTTGGTAGCAGCTTACCACTACAACAAGGAATACATCAACAACTGTTCACCAAAGCACCCTTGGGGAAAACCAGGAGTAATGGCCACAAACCCTTGGAAGACCATATCAGGCTAAACTCTAGGAAAAATGTCTTCACAGTCAGGGTGTCCAGAAAGTGGAACTCCTTCCAGAGGTGGTGCAATTACCTACCCTGGAAAACTTCAAGAGGAGACTGGACACTCACCTTGCTGGGGTCACCTGACCCCAATTGTCTTTCCTGCCTGGTACAGGGGGGCTGGACCCAATGATCTTGTGAGGTCTCTTCCAGCCCCTTAGATAGATAGATATACACACTAGCAAAATGCCCACCATGAATGACGAGTGGGGGGGTGGGGACAGAGACCCATATCTGGCCCTGCACCCTCTCCCTGCCACTCTGGGTCCAGCCCCACTCCCTCCCACTGCCGCTTTAGGTCCTGCCCTGCTTCCCACCTCCCTGTTGCCACTCCAGGTTCTGCCCTGCTCCCCCCTCCTCCCACTGCCCCTCTGCGTCATGCCCCACTCCCCCTGCTGCTCTGGGTCGTGCCCTACTCCACCCCCCCTTTCTGCCACTCTACGCATAGGGGGTGCGTATTAGGTGGTTGCATGGGGAGGGTGACACGGGGCTGTGTGGCGTGGTGTGGGGAGTGGTCGCTGGCTGCATGATGTGGGGAATGGCAACAGGGTGTGGTGCAGGGCACATGACGGGGGTCGTGGTGTATGACCTCGGGGCATGGCATGGGGAACAGCCATGGTGGGGGGGAGCAACCACTCGCTGTGGCCAGATGGCATGGGCAGCAGCCCCGAGGTGTGGCGTAGCATGCACAGGGGGGTGTTGTGCATGGCTGTGTGGCGGGATGGTGTGTGGCCACAGGGCGTGGTGGTGTGTGGCCACAGGGCGTGGTGGTGTGTGGCCACAGGGCGTGGTGTGGGGAGTGCTCGCTGGCTGCATGGTATGGAGAGTGGCCTCAAGGTGTGGCGCAAGCTGTGCAGGGTGGCATGGCACACAACCATAGGGAGTGGCACGGGGAGCGGCCATGGCGTGGGGAAAGCCTGGCAGCTGCGACCGCATGGCATGGGCAATGGCACCAGGGTATGGTGCAGGGCTCATGAAGAGTCATGGCATGGGGAGCAGCCCAAGGGTGTGGCATAGGACACATGGGAAATGTGGTGCATGACCGCGAGGCGTGGCGTGGGGATCAGCCATGGTGCGGGGATGCAGGGAACACCTGCCAGCCATGTGGCACGGGCAGCTTCCCCAGTGTGTGGCACGGGGTGTGCAAAGTGGGGTGCAGGGAATAGTGCAGGAAGCACCTTCTGGCTATGCCTGCAGGGTGTGGGGCATGGCCCTAGCATGTGGCGCAGGGAGTGTGGGGGGGCATGGCTCATGCCTGTGTGCAGGGGGTGGTGCATGGGCAAAGAGCATGGTGCGGGGAGTGGTCCTGGTGTGTGGTGCATGGTTCGTGTGGAGTGTGGCACATGGCTGTGGGGGAGGGGAGCATCTGCTGGCTGCAGCTGCATGGTATAGGGCACAAACCTGGGGTGTGGTGTAGAGTGTGTGGGGGGCATGGTGTGCAGGAGAGAGTAGGCAGGGGGGAACTCTCCACCCCGCCTCACCCTGCACCACAGCCACGTGCTGCCGTGGCTGCCTGGTGTCCTGCTCCCTGCATGCCACATCCCTCCGCATACTCTGAACCACATGCCAGGGCCACTCCTCACATGGTATAGGGCACAAACCTGGGGTGTGGTGTAGAGTGTGTGGGGGGCATGGTGTGCAGGAGAGAGTAGGCAGGGGGGAACTCTCCACCCCGCCTCACCCTGCACCACAGCCACGTGCTGCCGTGGCTGCCTGGTGTCCTGCTCCCTGCATGCCACATCCCTCCGCATACTCTGAACCACATG